AAAAGGCTGGCGACAGGCTGGAAGGCAGCTAGGCAGGCAGGCAAGCCGGCCGCCAGGCAGGCAAGGAGGCAAGCCGATATGCAGACCGGAAGGCAGGCAGGCAAGCCGCAAGGCAGCCAGGCATGCAAACGGAAAGGCAGCCAGGCAGGGAGGCCGGTAGACACCCAGGCAGGAAGGCCTCCAGATAGGCCGGCAGCCAGGCCTCCAGGAGGAAGGCCGGCCGGGTTGCAGGAAGGCCGGCCATTAGGCAGAAAGTCAGACAGGTAGACCTAGAGGCAGGCGGGCAGAGAAGTGTGCGTGCAGCTAGGTAGACAGGCAGGCCGGCATCCAGGGCGCCGAAAAGCAGGCAGATGAAGAGGCAAGCCGACAAGCAAGCCGCAACGCAGCTAGGCATGCAAGCCGAAAGGAAGCCAGGCAGGAAGGTAGACAGCCAGGCAAGAAGGCCTGCAGATAGTCCGGCAGGCAGGCCTCCGGGAGGCAGGCCGGCCGAGAAGCAGACAAGTATGTATGTAGGTGGGTTGATGGCATGTGCGTGGACGGCTGGACGTACGGGCAGGCAGTTAGGAAGGCTGGGTCGAAGGCAGGCCAGCAGGCAGGCGTGCACCCAGGCCGGCAGGCAGGCAGGTCGGCATCAATGTAGGCAGGCAGGAAGGCCTGCATTCAGGCCCGACCACAAGGAGGCAGCCAGGCACGCAAGCCGACATTCAGGCACGCCGATAAGCAGGCAAGCAGAGGCAGGCCGACAAGGAGGCAGGCAGGCAGAGGGGCAACACAAGTATGTATCAGGTGGTTGGAGGCAGGGAGGCAGGCATGCAGCCAGACAGGGAGGCAGGCATGCAGGCCTGCAGCGAGGCAGGCAGGCCGGTAGAGAGCCAGGCAGGCCTGCAGAAAGACCCGCAGTTGGGCATCCGGAAGGCAGGCCGACCGGCCGAGAGCAGACAAGGATGGCAGGTGCGTGGACGGGTGGACGGACGGGCAGACAGGAAGGCAAACCGGTCGAAGGCAGGCCAGCAGCCAAGCAAGGCAGGATGGCAGGCCTGCATCCAACCCAGGCAGGCCGAAATGCATGCAGGCAGGGCCGCCGACAAGCAGGCAGCTTGGCAGGCAGGGAAGACGATATTCAGGCACGCCGACAAGCAGGCAAGCAGAGACAGGAATGCAGAGGGGCACATAACTATGTGTCAGATGGGTTGACGGCAACTGGGTGGACGGACGGATGGAACAAGGAGGCCGACAGGCCGGAAGGAAGCCAGACAGGCAGGCGGACCCGCAGGCAGGAGGATCGGCAGCAGGCAGACCGGCCGGCAGGGAGGCGTACTGGCCGGCAAGCGGACCGGACGGCATGCGAGCCGGACAACAGGCCGAACGGACAGCAGGCCGACCGGACGGAAAGTGGACCGGCAGAAAAGTATGTATGCTGTTGGGTGGATGGCTGGACGGACGGGCAGGCAGGAAGGCAGGCCGGCCGGATGGAAGGCCGGACGGATGGAAGGCAGACCGGCCGGATGGCAGGCAGGCCGGATGGCAGGCAAGCCGCATGGCAGCCAAGCCGGATGGCAGCCAGGCCGGATGGCAGGCAGGACCGCTGGCAGGGAGGCCGGAAGACAGGCAGGCAGAGGTATACAATTATGTAGAAAGTGGGTGGACGGGTGTACGCATGGACAGGCAGGCCGCCAAGCAGGCAGGCAGTGATGCAGCCAGGCAGGCAGGCCGGAAGACACCCAGGCAGGCCGGAAGGCAGAAGGGCAGGTCGCCAGGAAGCGAGGCACGCCAGAATGCAGCCAGGCAGACCGGAAGTCAGCCAGGCAGATCGAAAGACAGCAAGGCAGGAAGGCCTGCAGATTGGCTGGCAGGCAGGCCTCCGTGAGGCAGACCGCCCGAGAAGCAGACAATTATGTATGGAGGTGGGTGGATGGTAGGTGCGTGGACGGCTGGACGTACGGGCAGGCAGGAAGGCAGACTGGGTCGATGGCAGGCCAGCAGGCAGGCCTGCAGCCTGGCAGGCCGGCAGGCAGGCAGGTCGGCAACCATGTAGGTAGGCTGGAAGGCCGGCATTCAGGCCCGCCGACAAGGAGGCAGCCAGGCACGCAAGCAGATATTCAGGCACGCCGACAAGCAGGCAAGCAGAGGCAGGCCGACAAGGAGGCAGGCACGCAGAGGGGCACAAGTATGTATCAGGTGGGTGGACGGAAAATGTGTAGACGGAAAGGAGGCCGACAGCCTGGAAGGCAGCCAGACAGGCACGAGGATCGGCAGGCATTCATAACGGACGGCAGGCGGACCGGACGGCAGGCCGAACGGACGGCAGGCGGACCGGCAGACAAGTATGTATGCTGTTGGGGGGATGTCTGGACGGACGGGCAGGCAGGAAGGCAGGCCGTTCGGAATAAAGTCAGGCCGGCCGAATGGAAGACAGGCCGGCCGGATGGCAGGCAGGAAGGCTTGCAGGGAGGCCGGAAGATAGGGCAGGCAGAGGCATACAATTATGTATAAGGTGGGTGGACGGGTGTACGCAGGGAGAGGCATGCCGCCAAGCAGGCAGGCAGAGAGGCAGCCAGACAGGCAGGTCGGAAGACACCCAGGCAGGCCGGAAGTCAGAGGGGCAGGCCGCCAGGAAGCGAGTCACGCCAGAATGCAGCCAGGAAGACCGGAAGTCAGCCAGGCAGGTCGGAAGTCAGGCAGGTAACCAGAAAAGCAGCCAGGCAGGAAGGCCTCCGATAGGAAGGCCGACCGGCTACCACTCAGACCGGCCGATAGGCAGAAAGGCCGACAGGTAGACCGAGAGGCAGGCAGGCAGAGAAGTGTGCGTGCAGCTAGGCAGACAGGCAGGCCGGCATCCAGGGCCGCCGACAAGCAGGCAGGTATAGAGGCAAGCCGACAAGCAAGACGCAAGGCAGCCAGGCATGCAAGCCGAAAGATGCCAGGCAGGCCTGTAGATAGGCTGGCAGGCAAGGCTCCGGGAGGCAGGCCGGCCGAGAAGCAGACAAGTATGTATGGAGGTGGGTGGTTTGCAGGTGCGTGGACGGCTGGACGTACGGGCAGACAGATTGGCAGGCTGGGTCGAAGGCAGGCCAGCATGCAGGCTTGCAGCCAGGCAGGCTGGGTCGATGGCAGGCCAGCATGCAGGCAGGAAGGTCGGAAACCATGTAGGCAGGCAGGAAGGCCGGCATTCAGGCCCGCCGACCAGGAGGCAGCCAGGCACGCAAGCAGATATTCAGGCACGCCGACAAGCAGGCAAGCAGAGGCAGGCCGACAAGGAGGCAGGCACGCAGATGGAACACAAGTATGTATCAAGTGGGTGGACGGCAAATGTGTAGACGGACAGGGAAGCCGACAGTTGGAAGGCAGCCAGACAGGCAGGAGAATGGGCATTCAGGCAGAACGGACGGCAGGCCGACCGGATTGCAGGCGGACCGGACGGCAGGCGGACCGGCAGACAAGTATGTACGCTGTTGGGTGGATGGCTGGACGGACGGGCAGGCAGGAAGGCAGGCCGTTCGGATGGAAGGCAGGTCGGCCGGATGGAAAAGAGGCCGGCCGGATGGAAGGCAGGCTTGCCGGAAGGAAGGCAGGCCGGCAGGATGGAAGGTAGGCTGGCCGGATGGCAGGCAAGACGGCTTGCAGGGAGGCCGGAAGAGAAGGCATGCAGAGGCATACAATTATGTGTAAGTTGGGTGGACGGGATTACAAACGTACAGGCAGGCCGCCAAGCAGGCAGGCAGAGAAGCAGCCAGGCAGGCAGGCCGCCAGAAAGCGAGGCAGGCCGAAAGTCAGAGGGGCAGGCCGCCAGGAAGCGAGGCCGCCCAGAATGCAGCCAGGCAGGCCGGAAATCAGACAGGCAGGTAACCTAGAAAAGAGCCAGGCAGGAAGGCCTCCGGGAGACAGTCCGGCCTGATACCAGGCAGACCGGCCGATAGGCAAAAAGGCCGACAGGTAGACTGAGAGGCAGGCGGGCAGAGAAGTGTGCGTGCAGCTAGGCAGACAGGCAGGCCGGCATCCAAGGCCGCCGACAAGCAGGCAGGTAAGGGGCAAGCCGACAAGCAAGCCGCAAGGCAGGCAGGCAGGCATTCAAGCCGAAAGGAAGCCAGGCATTAAGGCCGGGAGACAGTAAGGCAGGAAGGCCTGCAGATAGGCCGGCAGGCAGGCCTCCGTGAGGCTGGCAGCCCGAGAAGCAGACAAGTATGTATGGAGGTGTGTGGATGGTCGGTGCGTTGACGGCTGGACGTACGGGCAGGCAGGAAAGCAGACTGGGTCGATGGCAGGCCAGCAGGCGGGCCTGCAGCCTGGCAGGCCGGCAGGCAGGTAGGTCGGCAATTTTGTAGGCAGGATGGAAGGCCGGCATTTAGGCCCGCCGACAAGGAGGCAGCCAGGCACGCAAGCCGAAATTCAGTCACGCCGACAAGGAGGCATGTACGCAGAGGGGCACACAAGTATGTATCAGGTGGGTGGACGGCAAATTAGTAGACGGACAGGGAGGACGACAGGCCGGAATGCAGCCAGACAGGCAGGAGGATCGGCAGGCAGGCAGTGCGGACGGCAGGTGAACTGGACGGCAGGCCGACCAGACGGCAGTCGGACTGAACGGCAGGCCGACCGGACGGCAGGCCGACCGGACGGCAGGCCGAACTGAGGGCAGGCCGAACTGACGGCTGGCCGAAATGACGGCAGGCCGTAATGACGGCAGGTCGAACTGACGGCAGGCCGAACTGACGGCAGGCCGAACTGACGGCAGGCCGAACTGACGGCAGGACGAACTGACGGCAGGTCGAACTGACGGCAGGCCGAACAGACGGCAGGCAGAACGGACGGTAGGCGGACCGGCAGAGAAGTATGTATGTTGTTGGGTGGATGGCTAGAGGGGCGGGTAGGCAGGAAAGCAGGTCGGTCGAATGGAAGGCAGGCCGACCGTTTGGAAGGCAGGCCGGCCGGATGACAGGCAGGACGACTGGCAGGGAGGCCGGAAGACAGGCAGGCAGAGGCATACAATTATGTATAAAGTGGGTGGGCGGGTGTACGGACTGACAGGCAGGCCGCCAAGAAGGCTGGCAGAGAAGCAGCCAGGCAGGCCGGAAGACACCCAGGCAGGCCGGAAGGCAGAGGGGCAAGCCGCCAGGAATGGAGGCAGGCCAGAATGCAACCAAGCAGAACGGAAGTCAGCCAAGCATGTCGGAATTCAGGCAGGTAGCCCGGAAAACAGCCAGGCAAGAAGGCCTCCGGGAGGCATGCCGGCCTGCTACCAGGCAGACCGGCCGATAGGCAAGAAGGCCGACAGGTAGACCAAGAGGCATGCGGGCAGAGAAGTGTGCGTTCAGCTAGGCAGACAGGCAGGCCGGCATCCAAGGCCGCCGACAAGCAGGCAGGTAGAGAGTCAAGCCGGCAAGCAAGCCGCAAGGCAGGCAGGCATGCAGATAGGCCGGCAGGCATGCCTCCGTGAGGGAGGCAGGCCGCCCGAGAAGCAGACAAGTATGTATGTAGGTGGGTGGATGGAAGGTGCGTGGACGACTGGACGTACGGGCAGGCAGGAAGGCAGACTGTTTCGAAGGCAGGCCAGCAGGCAGGCCTGCAGTGAGGCAGGCCGGCAGGCAGGTCGGCAGCCATGTAGGCAGGCTGGAAGGCCGGAATTCAGGCCCCGGACGGCAGGCCGACCGGAAGGCAGGACGACCGGTCGGCAGGCCGAACTGGCGGCAGGCCGAACTGAAGAAAGGCCGAACTGACGGAAGGCCGAACTGACGGCGGGCCGAACTGATGGAAGGCCGAACTGACGGCGGGCCGAACTGATGGCGTGCCGAACTGAAAGATGGCCGAAATGACGGCAGCCCGAACTGACGGCAGGCCAAACTGACAGCAGGCCAAACTGACGGCATGCCGAACTGACGGCAGGCCGACCGGACAGCAGGCGGAACGGCAGACAAATATGTATGCTGTTGGTTGGATGGATGGTCGGAGGGGCAGAGCAGGAAGGCAGGTCGGCCGGATGGCAGGCAGGCCGGAAGACAGCAGAGCGAAAGGCCGGAAGGCAGGCAGTAGGGAAGGGAACAAGGCAGGTAGGTAGGCCGATCCAAGCAGGCAAGCAGAGGCAGGAACGCAGAGGGGCACATAACTATGTGTCAGATGGGTTGACGGCAAATGAGTGGACGGACGGACGGAACAGGGAGGTCAACCGGCCGGAAGGCAGCAAACCAGACAGGCAGGACGATAGCCAGGCAAGGAGCCCGACATCGAGTCCCCGCCGACAAGCAGGCAGGCAGGCCGACAATCAGATAGGCATTGAGAGAGGCAGACAAGTATGTATCAGGTGGGTGGACGACGAGTGGGTGGACGTGTGGAAAGTGGACGGACGAAAAGGCAGGCGACAGGCCGGAAGGCAGCTAGGCAGACAGGCAGGCCGACAGCCAGGCACGTAGGCCGGAAGCCAGGCAGGTAGGCCTGCATCCAGGGCCGCCGACAAGCAGGCAGTCAGGCAGAGAGGCACACAAATATGTATGAGATGCGTGGACGGAAAGCGAGTGGACGGACGGAAAAGCAGGCCGACAGGCCTGAATGAAGACAGGCAGGCCGACAGGCCGCAAGGCAGACAGGTAGGTCGGCAGCTAGGCAGGCAGGTAGGCAACCAGGCTGGAATGCAGGCAGGCGGGAAAACAGGCAGGCACCCAGGCAGGTACGCCGGACGGCAGCTATTGACAGCGTGCAACATCCTAGAAGGCTGTTATTTTCAGTCACCTCGGTGAAAACCTCAAATCTTGCCATGATTTCTTTCTACAATGAAGATGGAGGTGATACGTTCTTCCGCAACGTCGACTAACACGACATTGACAGCCTGCAACATCACAGAAGGCTCTCTTCTTCATAGTCACCTCGGTGAAAACACCAAATCTTCTTATTTATCTTCCACATTGAAGATTGAAGCGATACGTTCCTCGGAAACGTCGACTAACACCACACCTAGACCAACATCCCAGAAAACTGCTTTCTTCATAGTTACCTCTGTGAAATCCACAAATGATTTTATTTTTCTTTCAATCCTGAAGATTGAGGACGTACATTCCTCCGAAACGTCGGCTAACCACACATATACACGGTGCCACATCAGAGGAGACTGCTTTCTACATAGTGTCAATGTGGAAAACTCAAATCTATTTCTTTTCTACCATAAAAAGAGGCAATTTTATCTTCCGAAACGACGCCAGACACAACACCTTCACTGTGCCAAATCCGAAACCACTATATTCTTCATAGTCACCAACATCAAAACTTCAAATCTAATTATATTCCCTTATACCACGAAGAGGGAGGAGATCCTTTATTTCAAAACGTCGGTTAACCAGACATTGGCAGCTTGCAACATCATAGAAGTAAGTTTTCATCACAGTCATCTCGGTGAAATCCTGAAATCTAGCCATGTTTTTCTTTCTACCATGAAGAAGTAGGCGATACGTTCCTCCGAAACGTCGCCTACCACCACGTCGACACGGTGCCACATCCCAGAAGGCTCTTTTCTTGATAGTCACCTCGGTGAAAACACCATATATTTTTCTTTGCAAATGGAAGTTGCCGGCGATACATTTCTCCGAAACGTCCACTAACACCATAGAGCAAAATCCCAGAAGACTTCTATCTCCACAGTTAACGCTGTGAAATCCACAAATGGTTTTTCCTTCATTCCTGAAAATTGAGGCCGTATATTCCTCTTAAACGTCGGTTAACCACACATACACACTGTGCCACATACCAGAAGTCTCCTTTCTTCATAGTCTCACAGTGGAAAACTCAAACCTATTTTTCGTTCTACCCCCAAAATGGAGGAGATTTTATTCTCCGAAACGTCGGCTAACACATCAACACTGTGCCAAATCCCAAATGGCTGTATCCTTCATAGTCACCGGCGTTAAAACCTAAAATCATCTCATTGATCACGCTACCCTGAAGAAGGAAGTGAAACGTTCAACCGAAACGTCGGGTAACACCACATCTATTCGTTGCCCCATCCCAGAAGTCTGTTTTCTTCAAATTCACCGCCGTCACAACCTAAAATCTACATATTTTTCCTACTTCAATGAAAATGGTGGGGATACGTTCCTCCGAAACGTCGGCTAACACCACGTCTACACGCTCACACATCCCAGAAGACTGTCTTCATAATAGTCATCGATGTTAAAATATAAAATCAACTTTCTTTATCATTCTACCCTGAATATGGAAAGGACAAGTTCATCCGAAATGTCGCCTAACACCACATCTGGAAGGTGCCATATCCAAGAATATTGCTTTGTTCATAGTCACAGA